CCTTTTTGCAGCTGAATGCATCTCGGATCCCAGAATGCAGCAGGGGGTCATGCCCCTGTCAATGGATTTGGGCAGGGCAAGTTGTTGGACCTCAAGTATTCAACAATTGTTGAGACTGAAGCAGAATTGGTTCAATAAATTTCACCCAAAATTGCCCAAGGCATACCTGTTGATGCCACCCCCTAGAGATTCAATCGGTCACACGCTTTCCTACCCTCACGTCTAGCAATCTCACGATCTCCATGCTTGGCCATCTCTTGCTTATAGACTCGGCTGTAGACACGGTTGCGGGTGTCAGGCAGGTAGCCCTTAGTTGAAGGACAGTGGCCATCAGTGTTAAGTTGTGATAGTAACCATCTTCACTGTTGTTCCCTACACCGAATCAACAAACACTCCCAACAAATATACCATCCACATACAAAATGAAGCTGAAACTTCTGGGGGGGGACATGTCAGACACTTACAATAAAAGGGTGGTTCTATTCCTGGCCAGGAAACCTCCTTCAACGGTTTGCTGGATTCTTTTCCTTTCGACTTTGCCTTTGCCTTTGCCTTTGTTTTGGGAGATGCCTTTGCCTTTGCTGCTGCAGCAGCTGCATTGGAACCGGAACGAGAACCAGGTTTTCTGGATACGGCTTTTGGTTTCACAGCCGCCTTTGAGGCCGCCTTTGCCTTTGCTGCGCATTTTGCTGTGGGCATAGTAGGCATGCCTGTTTTTTTTTTGGAGCAGGACTGCATTCCTGCAGGGAATGCAAACGCCATGCAGCTCATGCTATGAAAACAAACACATACAATGTAGCTTATGAACAAGTGTTTAACGTGCACAGTTCATTCCAAGCAAATGAAGTCCTCATTTGAGGGCTCCACAAGGTCAACCGTGGGAACCGCACTTGCACCAATGCGCGCACCATCACCTTCCTTCAAGTCCTGTCCCATTCCAGAGTTCACAAACTCTTGAATTTGTTTTCAGTGCTTGCCTCCCCAACTCACCTGTGAACCCCATCAAGGTCCTTCAAGTCCTGTCACACTTCAGTCACTAACCCTTGAACTAGTTTCAAGTCAAGCCCACCTCCAATCCTGTCGGACTGCTTTGCAATCCATCAACCCCATCGATGTCCTTCAAGTCCTGTCACACTCCAGTGGTCACAAACAAGCACTTAGATTAGTTTTCATTGCTTGCAATCCTTGCTTCACATTAATTTGGTCAACCCACACTGTCCGCAACATCAGCGTATTGTCCCAAGACCAGCGTTGTGCCGCCAAGAGAGGCTCTTCCAGGAGAGAGTCCCATGCCTTTGGTAGGTTCATCCTGCCACGTCAAATGGGTGGACACCACTGCCAAACCCCAAAGCCACCTACAAACAGCAGTTATGCGCAAAGAAAACTCCAGCAAACAGCAGTCATGTCCCACCCTGTCCTGGTGTTGTTCTTCAGTGACAACAGAGTCTAAAGGCGGAGGAGAATCACTAAGGAAGCTTGCCAAGTGCAAAGACTGAGATGCCACCTGCAAGTTAACCAAAAGATAAAACATATAATGTAAGTTATGCAGCCCCAAAAGGACACCAAAGGGAACTATCAAACACAATGCTGGGTAGATTGGGTAGTTGCCATAAAACCATTCCAACAAAGAAAGCAAATTAAGTATGTTCTAAATCAATGCCCAAGTTGCTGCATTGCTGCCGGAAGGCAAAGATGCATCCACAAAGCTCTGGGCACGCTGCAGGGAAGGCTTCAGCATTTCATGAGCTAAAGGGGCACAGTCCAAACCAAAGGCAGGGCCCATGCTTGCATTGCCAGGATGGATCCCCAGTGACCGCAGCAGAGCCACTCTTGGAATCAGCCCCAGAAGCCACAGGGGCTTCCACAACACAAACATCACTATCATCAGATTCATTGCCATGCTTCTTTCCCCGAGTTTTTTTCTTCTCAGAGCCCTTCTCCTACAGGACTTTTGATAAACAAAACATGGCAACAACCTGCAAAACACACGGCCACAGCAGCAAAAAATCAAACACACACAGTCATCACATCAACAGATCGACATGCAGGATGACCCTCAACAAGTTCACAGACACACATACTGCCAACCTCACCGTTGGCATGAAACATGCACAGTAATGGTCAACACCAACATATGAAAGTTAAACACAGGATGTTGCAGCAGTCCTTTTTCTTGTCCGCTTTGATTGAAGTGCCTTTCTCCTTTTTGCTGCGCTTCTTTTTTTGTTTCTTGTCTTCCGGTGCACAATCTTCATCATCGCCGCCCTCATCATCATCATCTCTCATGTCATCAAAGAGACCATCGAATTCATCCTTTTTTACCTTCTTAGATGCCGGCTTTTTGAAGACCTCAGGTTCTTCATCATTGCCAGCCTTTGTTTTTCTTCCTCGCTTTGGCTGCTCCACAGGTTCTGGCTTCTCATCAGGCATTGTTTTCTGGCCAGCATCTTCTGAAGTAGTCCTGTCTTCAGAAGAACTGGCAACCTCACAGCGCTGAAGAAGTTTTGATGTAGCACCTCAGGCATGTCTTTCTAGGTTGGGTGCTTGATTATTAGAGCTATGTTGAACAAGCAAACAAACACATATTAAAGAAAGACATCCAGTAGATTAGAGCTATGTTGAAACTGGACAGGTTACCAGTAGAGGTAGATCTTGAAGCAGAAGTTTCCCCGGTAGGCTTAGAAACTGATGCTTTTGGGGCTGGCTTGGCCGGTTGAGAACTCAGCAAGGATTGGTAGCTCGAAAGATCAAATCGTGGAGCCACCATTGCATTCCCAAAGGGTCCTGTTTCCACGTTCCTGCTTGGGGTCCCCATGTCGGCGCGTGCTTGAAGCTAGCCCAACCTAAGTCAAACGTGTTCCCTGTCCTTGAGCAAGCAATGTTAAAGACACTGGGTTCTGAGCATGTTGTGTTTCATTGCAATCATTTGCATTCTGGAGGTAGCACCTTTACAAGCAGTTTACATTCTGACTGGCAATAAGTAAAAATTCAAAAGTAAGGAATAATAGCTCCAGACTGACGGTTGTTATGATCTAGTGCAAAGAAGACTTAATTTTCCCAGGCATTTCAGTTGGGAAACGGATGTTCCGAGGACCATAAGGCCTTCTCACCCATTGATGACACACCAGCCAAGCATTGTATGCTTGGGCCCAAACAGGCACTGCGTGCAGTGCAAACCCGCTAGGATGCATAAATAGCACCCTCCACTGCTCAAAATGCCTTCCAATAGGCAACCTCCCAAAAACAAGATAAGATAAGAAAGGCAGCTACTTTCAACACCATTACTATACCATCACTATGCTTCTCAGTGGTCCAGTGCAGATTGCCATAGATTCCCCCCAACATACTCCACAACATGTTTTGATGGCAACTGGGAGGTTCCGTTTCCCTTTAGGCCACCCTGAACTCAGAAAATCTGGTACATCTCCTCCATCTTTCCCTCAAAGCTGTTTGCCAGCATGGCTACAGGTCGAATTGGTACGAGATCTTTGCCGCTTCCACTTTGGTCTGGCTGAAGCCTGGCCACAATGGGTGGAACAAATGATGGTGGTGGTTGGGATGGTTGGGGTCATGACTAACTATTCACACCAAATCCTTCAAGGTTTGCATCTTTCAAAGCAAAGAGTGTTGGGTGGGCCAGGCACCTCAACCGCCAGCAGATCTTGACGTTCTCACAAGTTCGTAGCTTTGTCAGGGCCAGCTTAGCACCAAAGGTAGTTGCTGAACAATTCACCTGCATATAGGATGGAAGACTTCATCCTATTAGTCAACCCTTTAAAGGCACAGGTATTGGACAGTGAACATCCCACCAAGAATTAAATCTGTTGATTCATTTGGCAAGGGGCTCCAGTGGGTTGCAAGAAATCTTAAGCCTCTATTTTGAAGTCTTTGTTTTAGGACAGCTGGCCTTCTTTTTCTTATTATCCTTGGGCTGGTCAAGAACAAAGCAAACCTTCTTTTGTGACCTGAAGCACACTTCTTTGGATTCATCACTTCGGTCCAAATTGTGCATGGATAGTTTGATGTTCACTTCACCCGCATTCTCCAGCTCCTTGAGAGCATCTCCATAGGCCAAAACCTGAAGCATGATCAAATCAGCAAATGTTATAAGACAGTGAATGTTGTCAACCTCAAACTTCCTTCACAGCAAGAAATACACAAAGATACAATGAAAGCTTTACCAAGCTATACCACTGCACTTTGTTCCAAATGTCCAATGAACGGATATGCTGCGGCAACCGGCGGTCAGGTTCCAACACGCAAAGCTCTGAAGCTTGGTTCACCTTGAAGCTGATCCAGCGCCCTGTAAGATCACTTTGAACATCCTGTGCCTCTGGACCCTCAACAAAGTCACCAGAGCCAAACCCAAACAATTCAATGGGTCCTTTCACTTCAAAGCTCTCCCGCTTCTTGGCCTCATTCCCACACAGCCACAACTTGTCTTGCTGGATGTCATATACCAAGCGAAAGTTGCCACAGGGCAGTGTAAGCCTGAAATGATCAGCAGACTTTAAATTGGTCATACACTTTTTGCAATTGGGTAAGCCACACATTCACAAACAAAAACATATACTGCAATGTAATACGCAACATAAACAAAAATGTAACATAAACCTCAACCTCAGGGGAACTTGTCAGCAATTGAAGCCTCATGGTCAGCCACCTTGACTGTGTTGTCGATGCAAATCTTCTTGGCGACAGCTTTGCCAGCAGTGCCTGGGAAGTAATGAATGAACAACATGACAAGGAAAGGAATGCAACACATGCCCCCCACAAAATTATTCCAAAGAATGCTTGGCCCCGATCCAGCCCAAGCCACCTTGATCCCCTTGGCTCATGTCGGATGCTCCACGCTTGGTTCCATGAGGGTTGTATTTCTGATTGTGCGCCTTGACCATGTCTGCAACCTGCAGCTGGTAGGCATCCATGCCACTCCAGTAGTCCACAAGGTTCTGCTTGATTGCCAGTCCGTTGGGGACAGGAATGCAAACCTCGAAGGCTGGTGTCGGACTTTCAGCTGTTGAAGTCTTCAGCTCAGACACCACAGACTCAAAGTTTGGGAATCCTGGAAGCTTCAAACTGCCACTGCGGCACATGGAGTAAGCCTTTTGGCCAATGATGCTAGCGCAGTAAGCCGTTTCTGAGGTGCTGTGACATGCCGTTGAGCATGCCCAAAGCTTTCCTGCAAGGGGGCTCAAAGCAAGCATCAGCATCAAGCAAACAACATTAAACCATAAAGGATGTTGCCCCATGAAAGATAAAACAAGGTTTGGCATTTCAACAAGGAAAGGGTTTGGTATTTCTGGAAGCCTTGTTGTTCCTACAGCTCAATTTCAAAAAAGCACCATCCTGCTGCCAGCTGGTTCATTGTAAATGATGCTGGCCACCCATCAAAGCCAAGCAAGTCAAGCAACACTGTGCCACTCTCCTCTGAAGAGCCAGGGTTGAGCAGGGCCGCGGTCACCTTCTCCACAAGGCTCAAGCCGGCCAGGTGCTGAGGGCAGGAAACCATGAGGTTTAGAACATGTGGCAATCATTTCAGAAGAACATGAAATGAAATGAAACATGTGGCAAATTAAACCGGTCAACTGCCAAACATGTGAACCAGATTGCCTGCTTCAATTCTTGCACACGAGTCAGGCGGGCATCTGTGGCAAACTTGGTGCCATTGCGCTCAACCTTCAACATCTCATTCCTGACATGCCACTTGGGCAAGGGGACCAAAACCAGTTCTGGTGTTGACAATCCTTCTGAGCCCCCCCCTTACTACTAGTTTGCCACAATTGTGTTTACAAACAATCAGAAATAAGCCAAGAAACCTTGGGAGCATGCTCACTCCATGGACCACGCCACACTTGTAGAGCAAACTCTTCAAGAAGTGGTTGGATTTGTCCTTGCTGGTGATCATGAGTGCAGAATGATAGCCCTCACGGGATCCATAGACAGTAGAAGGCTCAAAGAATATTGAGACTGGGCGCACCTGGTTTGTGTTCAAATAGCTGCAATCAAACCATAGCAACAAACTGGTGGCATTGAACGTTGGCAGTTGAAACAATGAATCAAACATTTATAAAACAATAGTGTGGTTGTTACCTGCACTGTCACTTTGGTTTGACATTGACCTTGTAATTGGACCTGACATGACAGTTTTGGCCCATCCCACACGAAGATCTCGATGGGGTTCCATGAACATGCACTGAAGCTTGTACCGGAAGTCCCGCAGGATAGCATCTGAAGAAGTGTGGGAAGCTGGGTCATCCTCGGCTTCAGCCTCCATGTCACTTCCTGACAGGCTAAGGTAGCTTCACAGCCTGAAGCATGGAAGAACCAAGAGTGAATCCTGAAAACGGGGTCCTTCTTCCTGTTTCTTTGCTGCTCCATCTTCCTCTGCCTTGATGTCATCTTCTTCATCCTTCCTTATTCGACATTCCAAAACAAAAGTTGCCAGCTGTTAAGGACAGAACTGCAACATTATTCAACCTTACTTTTTTGTAGAACATATTTTTGGGTGGTTTCTTCAGGGTCTAGAGTCTGGAGTCTAGATGGTGATTCTAATAATCCTGTTCCCATTCCAAGTCCCAAACTCGTGGATTTGGGTATTAACGTGTATTAACCATATTGCCAAGCCACTTCGGTGAGCTTCGAAGATCCGCTGCACGGTTTGGTAGAAGGACTACAGCAGCTGCCGTTCGTGGGAAAGAGTGCAAGATTTGCGTGGCCTGCTCTATGGTGAAGACTAGTTTCTTTCCTGGAACCACACCGGCCGAGGTATAGTTGATCCAAAGGATGATTCGTTCCTGCTCAGCCCTCCTGATCCCAGACCCAAAAGTTTGCAGACAGGTTTGGAGCCAGGGTTCATTCCTGGCGGCGTAGGTGGACGCTTCTTCAACTTCCAGTCCTAGAGAGAGTGCAAGAGAGAGAGAGAGAGTGAGACCTGGTGTCAATAGACCACAATGAAAATTGTCTTAAAATGTTTAAAATATATTGCACTGTCCTTGCGCTGACTTTGGAAGAGACACATCCCATGCTGGCACACATTCTGTAGTGAAATCATTCACCAACTTCCAAGCAGTCGCATGCATCTTCTGGCAGGGTTAAGACAGTAGTGTGATGCTTGCATCAAGAGCAATGCTTGCTGCTAAGTAGATCTAAGTAGAGATCAGAATCACCAAAACTCCAAAATGTATATAGCAAGGTTTGAGGAAGGATAGATCCTACTCACTATCCTATTCCTATAGACCAAGATTTTCCCAAGATCTTCAAGGAGTTAAGAGAGTTCTCCTAAGTCCTTTGGACCTCACAACCATACCAGGTTACCACTTCTCCACAGCAAAATCCCAACTACAGTGCCTCCAAGCTGTGCACAAGGACTGAGCGAGCTCTGGTGGCATTGGCTTCCGCAGTGGCCAAGAACTTATCTTGCAAGCACTGGTCATTTGCAAGGTTGGTAGAGAACAGGTTGAACGCTGCCTGCAAAGAAGCCTTCCTTGCGTTGTTCACTGTTGATTGCGCAGAGATCACATGGTCTTCCTGTTGTTTTCCACATGCCTCCATCACAAACCCGAGCTTTTTGAAGTCGAAGTTGGGGTCCAGCCCCCTCCTTTGATGATCATCTTGGACAAATAGCCAAGGATAATCATGAGGTATGTTATGTTTGAAAAAGGATCACCCAATATCACCCACCTTACATCACCTTACTAAGTGCACCCCAAGGTGCACCTGCACTCGCAGCTCGGTGTCCAAGGCCCTCAGTGGTTGGAACATGGTTGGATCCTGTGAATCGTGGTTGCAAAGGGGACTGGCAGGCGCTCGTCAAATTAATTGTGTGGGTTGATGTGGGTTGCATCATGTGTTTGTGGAGGGAGCACGTGTTTGATGCAACCCACCCTTTGATGTAACCCACCACACTAACATAACGTTTTCTGTTGACAAACCATTGCCTGCTAAATGTTTGCATGTTGGATTGTAGTACTTCCTGACGTTGTTTATGATTGGAATGTTTTGAAATCATATTATGTTGCTGTTTGGTGCCACCAAAGCAGGGAAGCCAAGACCTGAATTGATGCCTTGCCCATACATGCATTAAAACATCTTGGAACCAAACAAAGTAGTTCTTTGGGACAGAACCCAAACATTTCATTCGAGATCTGTTTATTCCTAGAACCTAGACTTAGAATATGAAAGTTATATAAGGGGGAGTGACTTGGAAGAGTGGGTTGGGGGAGGGAGGGAGGGAGGGAGGGAGATAGTTTGCTTGTTCAGGGTTGGGGAGTGACACGGTTTGCTTTCCCATGGCTGGTTAAGAGTGACATGGTTTGCTTTTCCATGGTTGGGGAGTGACGTGGTGTGCTTTTTGATGGCTGGGGGAGTGACGTGGTTTGCTTTACCATGGTTGGGGAGTGACGTGGTTTGCTTTCTGATGGCTGGGGGAGTGACGTGGTTTGCTTTGCCATGGTTGGGGAGTGACGTGGTTTGCTTTTCCATGGCTGGCAGAGTGACGTGGTTTGCCTTTCCATGGCTGGGGGAGTGACGTGGTTTG